CTCTCTCTCTCTCTCTCTCTCTCTCTCTCTCTCTCTCTCTCTCTCTCTCTCTCTCTCTCGCTCTCTATCTCTCTCTCACACACACACACACACACACACACATGTAGGTATATGTATTTATCTAAAGATATATAGATACATATGTCGATGTATATGTATAGTGATTGAGAACTGCCAGATGAACCGTGGACAGAAAGGGAGAGACGGAGAAGAAAACGGGGCACTGTGACAGCACTCCACGAGGAGGCCAATTAGGCATACCAATCACCGACCACCCCCATTCTCTCATTTCCCCTCTCGATCAGAAATGGCAGTCCGGACCAGGAGGGGCCAGAAAAGGACCAGGAGGCAGTGTCGTACCCCGTTCACCGTTCACGGGGTCTGTGGACGAAACCGGTCACGGAGTTCACGACATGGGAGTTCATGGTCATCCGTTTTTTTTTTTGTTTTTGCTGGAGGGAGGTAGTTTTTTTTTTATAGGAGGGTGGGGTCATCGGAGGGTAACCCCCTATATTTTTTTCAAAAAACAAATTCATGAATAATATTTTTTTTAATTAAAAACTAGGCTACCAGCCGGGCCGCCCGGGTCACCCTTTTTCCCCGGGCGGCCCGGCCGTGCAAGGACCAGAGAAGGTCCCGGCCAAAAAAAAAAAAAAAAATCCAAAAAATTCGAAAAAAAACTATGTTTTGCAGAAAAATAAATTGAACAACTTTTGCCTCAGGGTCACATCGAAATTCTCTACCAAATTTAAAATAAAGTTTTACATTAAAAAAACATTTTTATTTATTTTATTTATTTTATTCCTTTTTGGCCCGGCCGGGCAAGTGGCCCCGGGCCACTCTGATAGCCTAGATTAAAAACGAAAAAAATGCAACCAGACAATTTTCGTTCGTTATTTTGTAGGTTATTTCAATTTTATTTTTTTTTGTAGGTTATTTCGTGGTGCAATAAAGCACCAACCTCAACGGGGTCTGTCTCACACAGAGAGAGAGAGAGAAAGAGAGAGAAAGAGAGAGAGAGAGCTGTTGGAGAGAGAGAGAGAGAGAGAGAGAGAGAGAGAGAGAGAATTAATTAATTTATCCTCTCTTCTCTTCTCTGCCAGGGCCCTGCGGGTCTGCGCCAACCCCCACCCACCTCCACCCCCCAAATATTTTATTTTTTTTTCACACACACTCCATTCTGTTTTTTTCTTTTTTTCTTTTTCTTTTTTGAAGGCAGGGGGTGTCCGGCGCCACCCCCCTCCCGCCCCGATCCAGACCGTCCCGGCCTCCACGTGGGCGGAAACCCCGTGAACTGCCGTTCACAGAATTCGGGCCCCATGACCGGCCGGTCCCATTCAAGTGACCCATGCCGGTCACGTTCACGAGACCGGCACTGCCAGGAGGGCCCAGAAAAGGACCAAAGAAGGTCCAGGACCAGGAGGGCCCAGAAAAGGACCAAAGGAGAACCAGAGAAGGACCAGGAGGAGCCAGAAAGGACCAAAGAAGGACCAGAAAAGGACGACAAAAACGGAACAGAAAAGGACCCGAAGAGGACAAGAAAGCGAGTGTGGCTCCCCACCAATGGACTGGAGCAATCAACGACACCAATGGACTGGAGCAATCAACGACAGGCCTACAGGAGGAAGCTGCTAATATCACTCCCGCTAGCAGCCCGAGTTCGGTATCCCTCTTAAAAAAAGGTGGTTTTGGGGGGGGGAGGGAGGAAGAGGAGGAGGACCAGAAGGGGATCAGAAAAGGGCCAGGAGAGGAACGAAAAGGACCAGGAAAGGAACAGAAAAGGTACCAAAGGAAAAGAAAAAGGGGCACCCAAAAAAAAAAAAAAGGGGGTAGGAATGGTCAGGAAGGGAGCAGAAAAGGAGCAGAAAAGGAGCAGGAGGACCAGGATGGAGCAGAAGAGAGACGAAGAAAGAGGAGAAAAAGGACAGCCTGAGAACAGAAGAGGGGTCAAAGAGAGACAAGCAGGAGGAAGAAGAAGAAGAAGAAGAGGAGCAGGATGAGGGGGAGGAGGAGTCGCCTTCTCACGCAATCATCTTCCAGCATTTAGCTACCTTATTCCCCCGGACATAACTCCCTATCATCATGAATGTATGTAGGCTCTATCCTAGCCAAATGCAGTCATATAATACCACTAATAGGGAGTCGTGTTCGGCGGACTAAGGTAGCAGCTGCAGTTGCGATTCGCCGCGTCTCTCATCTGCACAACCTAGACATAGCGAACGCTCTGTGGGCGAATTAGTAGCGGCTGCAGTACGTCGACTGACGGTACAAAAAATTCAATAAATAGCAAAAAATTCAATAAATAGGACTGGATAGGGCTTTCAATAAATAGAGAGAGAGAGCGAGAGAGAGAGAGAGAGAGAGAGTTTTCCAGCCATGCACACAGAGAGATATAACGAGGCTACTTCGATCGACAGGATGAGCAAAATCGGAATGAATCGACAGGATGAGCAAAATCGGAATGAATCTTCCGCACTGTGTGTGTGTGTGTGTGTGTGTGTGTGTGTGTGTGTG